TTTCCAACAGAGTTTGCGCAACAATCGAAAACGATTCCGCATATGCATTTCAAAACAATTCAAAGGGCCACTTTTTCAATGTTTTTATGAAAGACCAATTCTGACTCAACCTTGGCTTTCGGTCACTTTAAAGATCTTTAAAGTGGATGTTCAGGCTCCAGGAATTGATATTGGGCGTCCCAAGTTGATGAAGCGAGAGAAGCATAGAGCAGCCGCTGCTTTGTTCACAAATCAAGATGGTTGAATGTGTTACTGGGTTTGTCAATAAGTGAGCGAGTGGGTGAGTGAGATTGAGTGAGTGAGCGAGTGCGTGGGTGAGTGAATGGCAGCTGCTGCTCCTCCTACTACTACTACTACTACTACTACTAGTACTACTAGACATCCCACACTGTCTGCGCGTCAAGTATCGACGCGCAGATGCGCGGCGTACCCTTGCGCGCTCAAATGCGCGCCCGTCATGCGCGCGCATGCCGCCGGTAGATGCCCGTAGTCTGCTGTGTGCCCATGCTTTGCGCGCATGTGCTCCAGACTATTCCAGACTGCCTGAGGGTTTAAGTCTCGCAAGGTAGAGTTTAGGGTTTAGGTCTCGCAAGGTAGAGTCTAGGGTTTAGGTCTCGCAAGGTAGAGTCTAGGGTTTAAGTCTCGCAAGGTAGTTTAGGGTTTAGGTCTCGCAAGGTAGAGTCTAGGGTTTAGGTCTCGCAAGGTAGAGTCTAGGGTTTAAGTCTCGCAAGGTAGAGTTTAGGGTTTAGGTCTCGCAAGGTAGGGTTTAGGGATGTTTAGGGTTTAGGTCTCGCAAGGTAGAGTTTAGGGTTTAGGTCTCGCAAGGTAAAGTTTAGGGTTTAGGTCTCGCAAGGTAGAGTTTAGGGTTTAGGTCTCGCAAGGTAGAGTTTAGGGTTTACGTCTCGCAAGGTAGAGTTTAGGGTTTAGGTCTCGCAAGGTAGAGTTTAGGGTTTAAGTCTCGCAAGGTAGAGTTTAGGGTTTAGGTCTCGCAAGGTAGAGTTTAGGATTTAGGTCTCGCAAGGTAGAGTTTAGGGTTTAGGTCTCGCAAGGTAGAGTTTAGGGTTTAAGTCTCGCAAGGTAGGGTTTAGGTCTTAGGGTTTAGGTCTCGCAAGGTAGAGTTTAGGGTTTAGGTCTCGCAAGGTAGAGTTTAGGGTTTAAGTCTCGCAAGGTAGAGTTTAGGGTTTAGGTCTCGCAAGGTAGGGTTTAGGTCTCGCAAGGTAGAGTTTAGGGTTTAAGTCTCGCAAGGTAGAGTTTAGGGTTTAGGTCTCGCAAGGTAGAGTTTAGGATTTAGGGTTTAAGTCTCGCAAGGTAGAGTTTAGGGTTTAGGTCTCGCAAGGTAGGTTTAGGATTTAGGTCTCGCAAGGTAGAGAGGGTTTAGGTCTCGCAAGGTAGAGTTTAGGGTTTAAGTCTCGCAAGGTAGAGTTTAGGGTTTAGGTCTCGCAAGGTAGAGTTTAGGATTTAGGTCTCGCAAGGTAGAGTTTAGGGTTTAAGTCTCGCAAGGTAGAGTTTAGGGTTTAGGTCTCGCAAGGTAGAGTTTAGGGTTTAAGTCTCGCAAGGTAGAGTTTAGGGTTTAGGTCTCGCAAGGTAGAGTTTAGGGTTTAAGTCTCGCAAAGTCGAGTTTAGGGTTTAGGTCTCGCAAGGTAGAGTTTAGGGTACAAAACCACTAAAAATTAAAACCACAGGAACCCTGCTCCATCAACTTGCATGCTCCTGAATGCTATTCAATTCCACAAATGTTCAGGAAACCGGGCTTCTGACCACTGCGTCTGAGAAACATAAGGCCATGGCACCGAACTGCAGGATTTGATTTTGTTTACTCTAGAGCTGGGAGCTGCCGCCGGGCTGGCAGGTTGTAACTAGGCGAGGTGCCAACATGAATTTCCCACCAAAATTGGGAATACGTAACAACGCTTCACTATTTGTGCTGCCCTGCCACCCCTTTTACACTTAATAAAACCATTGGTCTAACTCGTTTCTGGATCGTTAAAGGCGAGGTCGCAACTTAAATTTCCCACCAAGACCGCGGGAGCTACCAAGACTGCATTTGTTCTGTTGTCCCGCCCCGCTGTTTAAACTTATATGGCTATCGGTCGCTGTTGTTTCTGAAATCGACGAATTGTTTGTGGTATGCGCTCTTCTGCAAGACATGAAACAAGATTGTGCTTCTGCAAAGCAAGCTGAGTTGAAGCAATAGTACAAAGCCCAAAGATGTTGTGACATCAGTAGCAAATTAGCAAAAAAAACTTGAGCGGCGCTTAGGAAGCTTGCTGTGTACCAGTGCACGCGATGACGAATTGCTGCATCATCCCATGTTTTCCTATTCCAGGTTGAAAGTTTGCATTGTCACCTTGACCTTAAGTTAAGAGAGTATGTATATATATATATATATGTATATATATATATAACGAGATGCAGAATCTTCTTCAATAAGCGTTTTCCTCAGGAGTGGTTGGGATAGCTTGCTGGGATAATATGGGATAGTGTTTAAGAAAAATGATGCGCAAAGGGCGGGGTATTGTTTTATTGTGTCTTGCAAAAGCTTGGTCCTGGTGAGGCCTGGTGAGGATCCGGTTCCGCCCAGCGGGCAGAACCAGACCCTATGCTTCGATGTCAGACCCGGTGAATCGGGGTCCGGTGTGGGGTCCTTGGGTCCGGTTCCGCCCAGCGGACAGAACCAGACCCCACATTTCTCACATTCCGCCCTGAAAATGCTTGCATATTCGGGTCTGGTTCTGCCCGCTGGGCGGAACCGGACCCAAGGACCCCACACCGGACCCCGATTCACCGGGTCTGACATCGAAGCATAGGGTCTGGTTCTGCCCGCTGGGCGGAACCGGATCCTCACCAGACCTCACCAGGACCAAAAAATTTGCTTCGATTCAAAATTAATTTAAATCCTTTGTAATTATTTTTTCAAAAATGATTAGAAATTGATTTTGAAGCTTGCCCCTATTAAAAAGTTCAAAACTTTAATATCAAAAAGCCCTCGATTCAAAATCAGTTCCAATCCTAATCATTTTCAAAATATGTTCAAAACATTGCCCAAAATTGATTCTGAAGCTTACCCCTAATAAAAGTTCAGAACCTTCATATAATAAGTAAATTTGCTGCGATTCAAAATTCATTCAATTCCTTGTCAAGCTTTGTTTGAAAAATGAGGGGACCCAACTATAAAACATTCGTGATCTTTTTATACTTCATGGAGGGGTGTTTTTTTATCATCCCCAAAGGATGAGATGCAACAATAGATCATAATAGATCATAATCATCTGTGGGGATGGGTTATTGATCTCACATTGCTCCAAAAAGATGAAACCAGGCTACCCAGGCTTTTTATTGGGGTCAGTTGAGGCTTCGATGAAATGAACTATGATGAACTGATGAACTCGTTGATTTCCAAATTGAGGCCAAGAACCAGGAATATGACATAGTGACCAAAACAGAACTCGAGGAAGACGCGGAGTAACCATTGCCCCCAAAAAGGAACAACAATCTAGCAATATCTAGCAAACATCAGGACATCACTGATATCACCTGAAGGAGTTAGCCTTGGGGAGGGCATCCAGCTATATCCAGCCACTTGGCAAAGATTTCGTCATGGGATCCGCGAAGATGCACCACCGGGTTGAAATACCAACATCTTGGTAGAGGATTATAGGTCCTACACACACAAAGACCATACAGAAACCATACAGAAACCCGGGCGCTGGGAGCTTGTCCAAAAAATTGGGTCAAGAATTCATAGCATCCTGTGGTGGTTAACCAAGCAGTAGCCAATTGAAAGGTGAAGGTTGCATCATGAGGAATGGATCAGTTCTGATTCCTGGAGGTTGTAGCCTCTCATGATAAGACTGTAAATAAAACACAACAGTTGATAGATGTTGATAGCCTATTTGTTTCAGCTCACTCCCAGCAATAAAAGGAAAAGTTCCATTGGAAGTCAAGGCCTCATGTTTGTGATCTGTAGTCCTCGTGGCAGGTTCAGCGAGCGCAGAAGTTTGCACACCTGTTTGCTCAGATGGCCGTTCCTCAGCTCACCGTTGCCAATGGAAAATAATCTGGTAGTCTTTCAGTTCTCCTGAACACCAAATTAAAATATTCACTGTCTGTATCAGTGGGGAAAGTTTCCGAGAAGTCTAAGCCTCTGAGTCCTTAAAGACTGCCAGCTTAAAAAATAAATGCCCTGCATAAATGTGATCACTTTGAACTAGATTCTGACTGTAGGTCCTTCATAGTTCTCGACAGAGTATGGGACTTGATCCATTGTCCTCTGTGCCACACAGCGCAATGAGCGGATGGACGCCGATGCCCCTGCAAAAAGTCACCGAAGAACTGTCCTGCAGAGTCGTTGCCAGCCAACTGATTTGAAAAACACGGCAGACACCAAGCCTCCCTGAGTCATCCCAGAAGGGCCAAATCATCCCAAGATATCCCAAGTCTCTAGGTCTTTGCGCAGAAAACCTTTCACCTGCTCAACCCGCGCTCCAATGGTAGTGTGCCCAACACGTATGCCAAGATTCGCAGTGGCACACATAGATAGAGTATTTCTCGTTCCAGACCGCGGGCCGCATTTTGCCGATACCTCGGCCACAAAAATAAAAACACTCAACTGGGTCCGCTTGAGGAGCCCCATGCACCTGGCAACCTCTAACACAAAGCAGAAACACCAACAAACTAGCACTAAGAATCAGCATGCTCAACAAACAACATCTTTCCGCATCATCCCGCATCATGTCAAATCTGCAGGTGTAAGGCGTCAAAATCCTCCAACAAAAGAATGAAAAGGGTGAGTGACAATTCAGATATAATTCTTTCCATGTCTTTCCAGTGCCCAGCTGCATGTTGGGAACAAGCAATGCGCTGGTTGCTGCCGTGGTTTCTCCAGAGCCATTGCTCTAACGGAGGCGCTGCAAATTAATCCAAATATCCCTTGAGTATCCTTGAGTTAGATTTCTGAACCGGTCACCAAAAATTCATCCAACTAAATTAATCCAATGAAATTAATCCTGGAACTGACGGGGGTATCTATATTAGTTAGCTAAGGTGCCACCCATGGCATTTTGCCACCCCAAAAAAATTGGCAGCCAAACGCTGCTGCGGTTCTATGCAATCACTCCACAAGGTAAAGCTGAACGTATCAAAATATTGATTTTTTGCTATAGTCCAACAATTGGTAGCCAACAATGCTGGCACACCAACGATATAAAGATAGTGATTGTTTACGCATGTTGGCCTTATCAAGTGGAAATTGGAACAGGAATAAACACTGGATGTATAGAAATTGGTTCTGGTGAGTTTGCGCCCCCCCAAAAAAAAATGTACGGAATCATATGGTAAGCCTTTGAGAAATGTACGGAAAAGTATCGTACATTAGCTAGGCCCCCCCCTACCGTACATTAGCAAAGGGGGGAGGGATGATGAAACCAAACCTGCTTCACCGCTGCTTCAAAATCATGGAACAACGGTGCCCAAGGCGTCGCCTCCTCCGCAACACCGTCCTTCAAGGCGATGCGTTGGGCCAGGGAGACGCTATGACCTGCACGACGCGGTCCCGGTCAGGGTGGGCGGTGATGGATAGATATTGATAGCAAATTTTAGATATCATTAATTACGGTATCTGTATATAATTTTACAAATAAATCATGTTTTGGATATTTCCGGTCTATGAATGAATGTGTATGTATATATATATATATGTGTGTGTGTGTGTGTGTGAGAGTTGGGGATGGTTTATGCCTGTGGAATTTTGACTCATGCCTTTTTGGCAGGTGGTTCAAATGAGGCTGCGCCTGCACTGCCCCATTCAAGCCTGATGCCAGCCAGGAGCGAAATGTAGCTCCAGGGGAATTTGGGACGGAATACTATGGTGCATGATGTGGGAACCAGGGCACCTAAATACCCCAAAATCCAGTGTTAGACTGTTGATCATCAAGTTCCCTGTTGAAACTGCAATTTGAAGAGGTATCCCGCTATTCCCATGTTCAGGCTAGAACTGCTGATATCAGCATCTGGAAGAGAGCACCATTTTTGCACATGATGAATTGCAGCCAGCACTTCTCTGGTGGGTGATTTCAACATATGCCAGTCATGTAGGATTTTGTAGGGTCATCGTCAATCACAGCATTTCAGACTATGAGTCTGAAGAAACCCAAACTGTACCCTAAGTCATAGCTGGTTAATGTATGGTTATTCCCCCAGTCGTATGGAAATTTCATGCAGGTAACAGCCGGGTCGCCATCCCCGCTGCCTAAAGCATGCTGGTGGCAGCGGAGGCATAAACGGTCTTCCAGGAAAGACCTGTGCATCACGGGAGGCCAAAGTCGTGGTTTCACGCGACAACTTTTGAACCGGATGTGTCCAAAAATCCAACAGCTGTCTCTGGAAATCTGGAAATGGTGAGTTTATATACCATGTTCTATCTTCAATATCTTCAGTTATCATCAACTATCATCAACTTACCTCCCAGAATTGCAATGTTCATTGGAGAAAACGATGGACCATGGGAATTTTGGGGTGCCAAACCACAGATTGCCGAATCTTGCCCACCTCCCGCAGGAAACGGAAGGAGCCCATTCCACGTCCGCGGACCTGTCAAAGAAATGGACGAACTTATGATATCATATGAAATCATTGGGATGTGTAGGGAATATTTGGGTTCATGGGGTGGTTCATCGGGAATTTTGAAGGATCATCAGGAAAAATTCATCTATTTTCCGGCAATCATTCAACATCAGTGGATTGGTTGAAGGGAAAGTCTTTAATTGAAACCATGGTAATGATGTTGTTGTTTTAACTTCCATAGAAGTTTCCTGCAGATTTTCGCATCCAATTCAGGGATGAACGTGACACTGATGAACAAGAACCTTCAATTCATGACTACTATAGGAAATAATCCATAGTGGTGAATACTGAATCCTCTAAATTGCTTGCAGTATGATGCAAGCAAAATAACCTTCTCATATCATTGCTGTCTTTCTGGGCCCTTTCCCACTCTTCCCTCCCCACCTTGGTGTGGCCATTCAACCGCCCCTCGCCAACCCAATGTCGACAATGGCTGACAGGATATGGACCAACAGCTTGGCCAGCCTCCGGTGGCTTCTGAAAAACCACGGTTTTTTTTTTGCCCCAAAATTGGGAGATTTGGGAGGGTTTTCTTGTAAATTTCACCTTCAAGCGATGGACAAAGCCCAGGCATCATGAACGGGTCAGATTGGTCAGATGATATGTACTGTACATACCTGCCAGTGTTCACCTTGTCAATTTCGTCCCGTAAAAAAAAGTCACGTCTTTACAATAGGAATGTGATGGAATGTGCATATGCATCTTTATACATCGACGACATGAACATATTTAAACGCGTGTGTGTGAGTGTACAAATTGATACAGATTGTAGATGGAAAATCAAGGACAAAGAAAAAAGGTTGGTGAGTGGTTGATTTAAGCTGAGACAACTTTCAGCATGAAGTTCTGAAGTAGACCCCCTGGAAATATGACTTGGAACCTCCAAAATGGGAACGGCCGTTAATCGAATCATTCGGGATGGGGACCCCATCTTCCAAATGATTCTCGAACTTTGTAACTACAGCGAACCAAAACAGTTCTCCAGACGGTCCCAGAAATGAGTGCAACCAAAGGACCGCATCCTGTATTCGCCAACCATACTCCTGTTCAGAGGCAGGATCTGTGATTAATCCTGAGGGTGTGGGTATCATGACGTATCATGTCAACCCAGGATTTACAAACTACCAACCCTTGGTTGGCTTATGGTTGGCTTAATTGGGACGACCACCGTTCCCGGAGTTGGCCGTTGGCCCCAATCTCATCCTATTTCATCGTGTGTGTCATCATGTTTCATCATATTTCATCATACGGTGAATGGACGAAACCCTCGATCACCTTGGATGGTTGAATCCCTATAAACAATGGGATAAAACAATATAAAACATCTATCAACAGGTGCAGGATTTCTTCCACAGTAGTTCATCGTGCAATTGAATTCTATCAGGCCTGGGGCTGACATGAAAAGCCACATGTCTGCTTCGAAGTGGTGCCCACATGTCAGCCATGGATTTCAACAACTCGGGCTGCATTCCAAGTGGGCAGTGGATGGCCCCCTCATTCAATAGAAATCGAATTGAAACATACATCAAACAAATCATAACAAATCTGGGCTGACTAAAGTGTCTTAATTGGAATGCATTATATAGATACATCATTTGAATCAACTCGGTTCTAAAATAAATATTGTACAACAAAGTATCTTTCAACATCAATTCACGGTTGATTTGAATATTCATCAGTTGTGAAGTAAATCAATTCTGGGTTGTTTTTGGTAAGGACCCCGCGAGGGCGTCGCGGAGTGTTGTCGTTTTTTCATGTTTACGTCATTTTCGAAGCATCCATTTCATTCCACGTTCTACACTGTTTTCTTGCGCGCCGTTGCATTTTCTGCGCTTTTTGCTGTGTTTCGTGACGCGCTTGCGGTGATAGTTGCGTGTTGGCATGCCAGGGTTTGTGGGGGGGTGGGGTGGGGTGGGTGGGGTGGGGTGGGGTGGGGTGGGGGGTGGGGGGGTGGGGGGGTGGGGGGGTGTTGGGGGGGGGCTAATAACGTTCTTGTTTATTAACGTTCCTGCATCTTCGTTCTTGACACGCTTTTCACTTTTGCAAGTCACGGTTTGACACGCGGTCGATGTTTCGGTTTTGATATGTTGACGTTGGTGTCAGGTGGCGTGTGGGCATGGGGTTGGGTTTGGGGGGGATTAGAACGTTCACGTTAACCAGCGTACTTGCAACTACTTCCTTACACGCATTTCTTCTTTGCAATTCATATCATCATCATCTTCAACATCATCATCGTTATCAACATAATCATCATCATTAACATCATCATCAACACGATCATCATCATTATCGACATCATCATTATCATCATCATGATCAACATTCTCGTCATCATTATCAACATCATCATCACCATCATCATCATGATTATCAACATGATCATCAACATGATCATCATCATTATCATCATCATCATCAATTGCTTCGGTGAGGTAAAAACAGTTTACTTCGGAGACCCCTCTTGGAAGATGCATTTTTTAAAAAAATCACGAAATGCAGGTTTTAAAGGCGTCGTGCGTTAAAAAACGCGCGACGCCTAGAAGGGAACCTTCCCTTGTTTTTCCAGCCATATGGGGGTTTCCTAAAATAGGGGTAGCCTCCAAATCATCCATTTATAGATGGATTTTCCCTCATAAACCATCCAGCTATTGGGGTACCCCCATGACTATGGAAACCCCCATAATTAACTTCAAATCTGAGTTTGAGGAACTACTACCCTCATCCAAAAAACACCAGGCCGTGCCATTTGCCGGGCCTCAAGCCTTTCAGGCATGGCTAAGGTGGCTTCGACTTCCTGAAGGACGGTGGCCTGGCGGGGACTCTTCCTTGGCCAAACAAATGGACATATGAGGGCAACCAAGTGGTACTTGCAGGGTAACGCCAGAACTTGTTGAATGGGGATTATTAAGATTTACTAAGAACCAATCTCGCAGGTGATTGGTAGAATGTGACCCCATGTTCGGCGTATTCACCATCCTGAAACGGAGATATGGCCAATATGATATTGAAATAGCACCCAATTCATGAATCTTACATCCAATACTAAACCACGTACAGTAATTTGGGGTGTTGAACATGATCGGACGTTTTTACCCAGCAAACCTGGGGATTTTCGACCTGGGGAACCAACTGACCCAATAGTCCAATTCACATATTCATGAGGGGGTTTACCATCAAACTCGTGGGCTGAACATGGTCTAACCAGCGTGATAAAACATGTGTTGAGCAGCAACGACTTGGTATTGACTGGGTAATTTGACTGACGGTTGGGTGGGTTGGAAACCTGGAAATCATGACAGAAGTGTCATCCGTAACATGATGCAAAATCTCTTCAGCACCATTTTGGGATCCCTATAACATATTCTATAGTGTTAAAGTACCCATCAAACGGGCCCCTAAAATGAAGAGGCCATAAATTCTGGAGTTTGTTTCATATTGGAAACTAAGTAAGACATACTGGGCCAAAATTATTTTTGTAGGCACCCCGAGTGACATTTCTGGTAATGTCGAGCCTTGCAGCGCTCCCAGATCTGCTCCTGGCGTAGATCCGTGGACGATGATGATGATGATGATGATGATGATGATGATGATGATGATATACACCTAAGCCCTACAAATATCCATCGAAATTGGTAAAAGTGTTAAACTATATTTTTTGGGGGAACACATCCATTTTTTTGGTACTAGGAGGGTCTAGGAATAGCCAGGCTGCCTTCTTCTTTTTTCTGACCATTGTCACGCCGAAATATCTTCCATGGAACCCTCGTCCCACAGCATACGGTATCTTGAGATGCTTGGTGGGCACCCCCTTGAACTCGACTGGGCCTTGCTCTCTCTTGACAAGAGTGGCAGCATGTTAGCAAGCGGCCTCGCCACCACGTCGATCCATTCATATCCATTGATTAATGAGGAGTCCAGGCAAGAATGAAGGTTGACAAATATGACAAATTCGAACACTCCTCCATCCGAACCTCAACCGATGAGGGCTCCAAAAAAAAAACACATGGATCATTCTGGGACACTCTTCCATCCGGAAACAACCATGAAAGGAATAGCAATTAAATCAATCCATTCTTTCTACAAGGTGGTCCCCCACTTTGTTAGCTAAGTTGGTTGAACAAAGTGGGGGACCAACCCCAAATCCCAATAAGTTGGGTTTACGTAGATATATGTGAGGTTTCCTAAAATGGTGGTGCCCCAAAATGGATTGTTTATAATGGAAAATCCAGTTTAAATGTATGATGTGGGGGGTACCCATATTTTCGGAAACCTCCACACACACACACACATATATATATATATATACACATTATTATATATACATATCTACGAATTATACACATATCTACTGTATAGTCTATAGTTGATAAGGTTTATAAACCATCAGTTCTCACTAGGCACCACCGACAGTCAACTCAACTGACAACCGGGGGAAGCCTCTGCAGCAACTCTGGCGATAGGCTGCCCAGCAAGCTTTGAGCCTCAGGAAGACAGGACCATGGCGGGAACGTGGCGTGGCTAGGCCCCCTAGAAATGGAGGTTTTACTGGGAACAGATGTAAACTCAGAAAAGGTAGAAACGGTTCAAATTATCTCTATTTTAGTCTTTTTTACCGACCTCTGTCTTTTGGTGGCTTCAGTTTCAATAAGACTTCTTCGACGTAGACTTCACTAAATATTTCTCCATCCATGCATACTTTTCCTATCTTTTCCTCAAAGATGGCTGGAAATTAATCCCACACATTTCCTCAAAGAAACTGTGCTTACAATTCCCCGGGCATCACCCACTAAGGTTGACCCAATTTGCTCGGGCAGGCCTCCAACCACCAGTAATGTACTGCATCCGCCGCCCTGGCGACTGAAAAATTGGCTACCTGGACCCTTTGTACCCAAAAAGGTGGGTATGTTAACAATGTTGCCCCATCATTTCAGTGTTTTCATGTTTTTTTGAGATTTTTTCTGAGTACAAACGGATGTTACCCCATCATTTCAGGACTTTTTTTCTAGTACCAAGGGATGGTCCAAACATATCTTCTCCGGCACCTTCGGTCAAGTTGTCCATGGACGCTCAGCTCTTTCAGCCTCAGCTGCAGTGGCTGCAGTTGCCTGAAGATTTTTCACTGCAGTTGCATTGTTAAAATGATTTTAAAATGATCATGAAATGTATGTTATTTCATGAAATTGTTGTGAATTCTATATTATTTCTTACTATTCTATATTATTATGATATTGAAAGGTTGTGAATCCCATTGTTGTAAAAACAATAATAAAGTAACATTTGGGGATGAATCTACTGCTGGATGATCAAACAGGCATTGATTCAGATCTGCCTCTAGTTGTTTCAGTTGCTTTCTTCCATTTGTTTATTTGTTTATTTCGATTTTTTGGGTATATACATTTTTTATCACTGGCAACTCCATGTCCATTATCTTGTTGGCTTGCGTTTTAGTACGATATTTGCGTATGAAGGTTCTACTCTTGATTTAGCTCTACAATCTTATGAACGTCTGTGCGACGAATACATGTTGTTGTTGTTTTTTGTTTATTTTTTGGGGGTGGTGCACAAATGTTTATGGATAAGGGAGTTCCCTTGTCAGTTTAGATTGTTGGCCAAAAAACCTGCGAAGTGCCAGACCAACAATGCTCGGACGTTAAGATTGATACTAATTCGTTGCCCTTCGTTTGCATGAAGGCTTGCAAGGATGTGCTGGATATGTAAGGACCTCCAAATCACCTCCAATCTCCGGTTTATCCCAAAGATCTCGCGAAGAAACAGCGATTTAGTGAATTATATTCAATCAAGGAATCTCATTATGATTAATATATAATTCATCTCTTAGGATAAATATGGATAGATTTCGGGCCATATTAGTGACCCACCTGCATCCACAAGGAGAAGCATCTAGGCTTCCCATACGTCCTTTCCGCAGCCCTGCGAGCCGCATCCCTCAAAGCTTTCCTGGATTTGGAGACCGGCCTGGGAACTAACCAGGGTTGTTCAGAACGTTGTTCACCAGTTACTCAGTGGGATCCTCCTGGTTTCCTGATGCAGGTTTTGCCTTAAAATCATACAAAATCAGAAGGCAGCCGAACCAATCCCGGCTCCTTCCAAGCAAACCCGGCACACTCTCTGGTAGTCGAGCCAGATCTCTTTGCACACCAGGTAAGCCCTGCAGAAATGACCGGCTTGGGAGGGCTTGGGATGTCCTGAAACGGGTGCGGTGGGAGTTGCTCAAACCAACCGACCATACGATGGGCATTGTAACTCTTTGTAACCCACTAACAATGGGAATTTGAATCCGCCAGCAGGTTTGCATCAAGAACTAGTTCTTCATCTATTCCGGCTCAAATGATGCTATATGACGCTATAAACCACCAAGGTCCTTGGGTATGGGAAGCAACAACAAATGGGAAAATTCAGGTGTGGCCAATACCCCGTCTCTTCCAACGCCTCACGTGGCCTTTCGAGTTGGAAGTGGCACCATGAAAACGTGGGCGAAGAACGACCGTCCCACAGAGCCTTGCTGTCTGGTGTGCTATGGATGTCTTTTTCCCTCGGGCTATCCGGGAACTAGGGCCCCATCAGTTAATTTTAACACAACCTGGAAACCCATGGGATTCACGTTCAGAAAATTGTCATGGGATAAACGCTGGAGTTTCATGGAGTTTTGTATCTAATTACATCTTGGCTGGAAGGTATATAGTAGATACCCCCATTCTTATCCCCATGCCTTACCCCAATATATTGAAAACCCCATCCCCCAAAATGGAACAAATCCAATACTAGGGTTTGTGGGGTGGTGATATTGGAAGGATTATATCATATAATTATCATAATATATATGTAATATTATATATATACAAGGTGGCACCCCCCAGTTACAAATTGGTTTATAACCCCCATTAACTATAGACAACAGCCCCTAATCAACCCTAGTTATTGGACTTATTGGCACCAACTTAGCTAACTATGGGGCACCACGGCACCACCTACCGTTCATCGACCTCAGGAGCTTCCCAGCGTGGCTGCAAAACCCATCCATAGCTGGAACCCGCCTCGCGGCGGCAAGCCACGCAAACGTTGCGCATCCCATGAGAAACAAAAATGAAACAAACCATACCCTCTGGTTATGTCAAAATAGCTATTGAACATGGCCATTAATAGTGGGTTTTCCCATTAAACATGGTGATTTTCCATAGTTATGTTAGTTTACCAGAGGGTAGCAAATATCCTACCTACCCTCTGGTAAATGAACATAATTTTAAGGCAAATAGGGGTTGGAAGACTAGTTTCCATTAAAAATGTAGGTGATTTTCAGGGTCCAACTGTTAATTTACTGGAGGATAAATCCTATCCAAATCCTGATGAACCATCTGAAACCATGGTGAATCTTCACAACTCATCCAGAAATCCTCAAAACGTGTTTGAATATCAACACATCATCATGAAACCTTCAGCCATCAAATCTCTGCCAGCTCTGCAGGGCTCCCCCCATTCACCGGATTCAGCGGGTTGGTTTTAACATCTTCAGCGAAAACCAAATGTACTTTCTAGACGTGTATAAATAATAAATAGGTTTAAAAAAATATATATAGATAGGCTAGATAGGCTAGATAGATAGATAGACAGACAAACAAACAGTGGAAGAGGTTCAGCCGTAAATTGTCCCTTAAACCCTCCGAACCATTGGAATTTCTAATGTGGGATGCTTGGGATTTCACCAAGTAATTTGCCAGGGAATTGACCAACAAAAATGGTTCAAAGATAGTTCAAAGATCATCAAACAATGGATTGGCTTAAGGGAAAACCTACAGAAAACCAAAGATTTTCACATGAAATATGAAGTTTTCCATAGGTTTCCTGTAATTTTTCCCTTAGACCAATCCATTGAATCACCACCACCGTGCCTTGCCATGTGTCATTGGCAGTTCCTCAAAAGTGAAGCGCCAAAGCCTGGGCATGTCCATGAAAATTCCACAAGGAATGATGGATATGAATGGATACGAATGGATGTGATGGATGCATGTTAAATCCAACATAAATCCTGATTTGGATGGCGTTTTATTGTGGGACATTCTCCTTCATTTTGTGGACATGCTCGTTTCTTGCCAGCAATATCATTTGCATGAGACCAACTACGCGCAGCTGAACCTGACGCACACACACGCACATACCCAGCACTTCCTTTTGGCTTCGCTAAGCCGCTAAGCCCATTGTGCACCGAGTCTCTGTATAGTCTGGGGTTATATTTCGCTGATGAAAGTGAATTCTCCACTTTCTTCACACCAGCTCCTTTCCTCAAAGATTGGTTGATACTGGACCGCAACATGTTGGAACCTGGAACTTGAAGGTTGTATGTCAAAAGGCGGTTGCATGTTTGTCAAGATTTGCCGGAACCAGCATGAGCCGCGCAGTCTAGCTGATTTCACAATCAGGTCCTAGGCCAAAACCAGACTACAGGGCACGCTTCAAAACACTTTCTTGGTTAAAGCTATATTATCTGCAGCAAGGACATCTATGAATGTTTGTGATTGAGAACCCTGAAACTGATGATGTTGATGTTGCCGTCAAATGCGTTCAAACATGTTCAAACGCAACAATCTGCCAAGTTGCCTTTGTCAGGCAAGAACCCTCTCTTCAAAACATTGTTCCATCATTTTATTTCTGACAGCGTGCCCCATGCACTTCGCCTCTCGTGCGCCCGCCCTCTCTCACGATTGTTGTCTTTACACCTTGGGGACTGCAATTCTGATCAGAATTCGCGCATTCTTGGCAGCGAGACTTCCATCCTGTCAGGGTGCCATTCCTTGATTTCTCTACAGAAAAGTGCCGCACGTAACTGTAGACTGGCCATTTCAACTGCCATGTGCTGCATGCACCGAAACTAAATCCCACATGCCGTGGCCCCCCTTGCACCGTTGCCCCGTCCTGGTGCAAATTGTACATGCCCATGTCTTTCCTTGGTCGCCAAAGGCTTCGTCACATGAATCAGGTTCCACTTCAATCTGACCGCCAACGATTAAAGCACATCTGCGAGCACTGAAACATCTGAAACCAGGAGAGTTCTCGATGTCTCAAACATAATCTATACTGCCCATATATATATATATAATATATATATATATATATTAACTATGATATATTAGTATATTAGTATAAATTGTGCCATAATTATGTTGATGATATTTAAGGAACTTTAAGGCCATCTCATTCACCAAACCATCATTCCTCACAAACCATCCAAACACATCCAAACTGCATGCCACATCCAAGGATCTTATAGTCCCAAATCATCTCAAGAGCTCCGGGCCGTGTCCCCTTGGCTGTGTGGAATGCCTTGCCACTCTCGCCCACCACAAAATCCGTGCCAAAGGTGTGTAGCCTCACTACGGCGTCACGCACATCATCGGTAATGTCGGCCACCTCCCAGCCATATGGCATCTGAATGCGAGTCTTCTGCCCTGCCGACTCTCCACCCTGATTCGGAGGGGTAAAGTCCAAAGCTGCATAGTAATGGCCATTGAACTCCACACTGTTGGCTCGTTGTTCCTCCGAATTGCTGAAGATGGCGCTCCAAAATACCATACCAACATTCAATCAATATAATTCATACAAATAATCAAATCCCAAAAAAAAATACTCAGGGACCCAGTTCTTCCCTGATGTTCCAGTGAGACAACCCCAAAACATCATCGACTCACCATTCTGCCGTCGCGCCGTCCTCGGTGATTTGGGGCTTGTCGGGACCCCGCACGGCTGGTGGAGGGATTCGCTTCTCTTCGAAGGCCTTCTTCTTGGGATCTGGGCGACGGTCGTCTCGGCGGTCGTCCCGGCGACCGTCACGGCGGCTGCGGCTGCGGTTGCCACTGCGGCCACCGGAGCGCCGCGGTGGAGGGCTATATCCTCAGTGTTTTCACTGCCATGAACCAATCAAACCTATATAGTTGATCATGGGTCTTGAAGCGTTTTCAAAACCAGTATTTGTGGATGTTGAAATGGCTTGAAAAGAATCAAGAAACAGCTCTGTTCAAGGGTTTATAGGCCAAGGGCCTGTGTCAAAATGCTGATAAAGTGGTGAACATCCAAAACCTCTTTCTGGAATTTAGATGGGATGGTGGCAAGTGGGGCCAAGCTACCCTTGGATGCCCTTGGATGAGATGGTTGGCCTTGACTCCGGACTACAGTATCCGTGCAAAACTCATTCAAATTCAAAAAGAACATGTTGAATAATGTTGATGTCAACCTTTAATTCATTACATTGGCCAATGGGTCAAAGACATGTTCATCACCTTGGACAAAAGATCAGCTCTTTCCAACTCTCGGAATTTGCTCCCCACAAGAAAAAATGTTCTCCTCATCCCCATTCCTCCCATTCCCAATTATCTCCCATCAGGAGGAAGGCACGACTCACCGGGCTGCGCGGCCGGTCACGCCACGACCTGCTCATGCTGCGACTCCGTCCGCGACGCCCACCGCCACCGCCGCCACCGCCGCCGCCACGACGTGGCGGGGAGCGGCTCTCCCGGCGGCTCCGGCTGTCGCCTCGACGAGGCATGGCGACACGGTGGGGGGCAACACGGCGAGTTGGGCCCGGCGTCGTGGCACTTCTTGGGCAAAAACAGCGGGCGAAGCAGTTTTGATGTCTGGAAAAGTAAGGCTGACCAAATATCAAAAAAATCTCAGTAACATACGTGCAAATCAGTGCAAAAGGATGTGGGATGTCGTTTTTTCCCTGGCGAACTGTGAAACAAATAAGTCAAATAAGTCATAGGTAAATCGCATGGGTGGCATGACCTGTTGTTCGGAACGCCTAGCAAGCAAACAGGGCCCCCGCTGGTCATGCACAACCACACGGGCATAGCGCTTGTAGACAGCTTTGAAGCCAATTCCCATGAAGCCTCGAAGATTTGAAGCCCAATGCCCTCCCCTGGGATCACTTTTTTTTCCCACCATGTGTGACTTTTTTACATTTTGTAACATGTTTTGTCCAAAAATGTGGCAACCCCCCGGAAAAAAAAAAATCTGGCGCCAAGCAGCCGATGGTGCGCTTTTGGCCGTCACCCTGCGCCGCTCCACTGTATAGTAAGCCACTTTTTGCAGGATATGATATGAGATTTGTCGGGATATTTTGTAATTTTCCCATATTATAGAAATATATGTTTTGAAATTACTTGACATTGAACTGTCATATTTGAACATGTCTTTATGGTGTATTTCGTGTACATTGATGTCCCCGGCAATTCTTGGCACACCAGAATTATGAGATGAATTACTGGCAACACCGAGACAAATGCTGATCATTTTTGTTGAACCTTGAAAATGTGCAGAAATATGTGGAAAATCTATAGCTATCATCCCTGGAAATGCCATCTTGGGGCATCTTTTTGGGGTTAGCCGAAAAACACCCAAGGGGATGATCATCAATTAGGGATTCTCTTTCGCCAGTGTGGCGTATCCCAATGCCATAAACCACCCAATCACATCCCCAAAGGTGCGGGAAGATTCTTGGGTTGACCGCCCCATTGATATTGGAACTCTAGAAAAAATATTAATGCCTCAACCTGCTTTTCAGATGTAAGTTTTTCCAATTGTTACAATACATTGTCCTTAAATGTCCTTAATTTTTTTGGCCAAGGACAAGGCCCCAAATTCCGACCACTGACATGGGGGTTCACCACTGTGCGGAGTCCCATCCGGCGCGTGTTTCATGCTGCCTTTGTTGACAGGCCCACAGAGGAAAGACCCAGCACATCCAGAGCCGTGAATCTCCTGACGCTGGCTGCAGACATCTGACATGCTGAAAAACTTATCCACCCTAAAAAACAAAAAACATACACATGTGTCATTGAATTGCGATAACCAAAGCAATGTGCTAATCATGGATCCAACTAGTATTCTTTGAGATCATCATCTAAATCAACAAGATACGACAATCACAATATCAGCTGAACTCGCGGAGCAAAGTGGTCATAAAATGGGATAGGTCACACTGGGGCCGGCGGCATAGCGCAGAATGATCGGTTTTTACAGCAAGTACACACTGGTTATGACTAACAGTTCGCCATGGAAAGATCCACCCATTTTTATAGCTAGGTAAACCATCTATTTCGATTAGGGCCATCATTGTCCATGGCTATGTTAGTCATAACCAGATGGTACTACAGTTACTACATGTTACTACCAATATCTACCAAACCTGACTCGATCGACTGCATCATGCCGTCGTGGCATGGGCACGGGTTGTGAACAGACTGAGGAGCCGAGCCGTCCATCGTGTTTCACCGCCAAACCCAGCTGATTGGGCTCAAAACACCTCAGGGGATGTCCAGCTTTAAAGTCTCAGCCTTTTTCGAAAAGATGCAAAATTGGGGCACCAAACAGGTGATTCCTGGTGAGATATCAGAATCCGCCTGTTTTTTTCCAGGGACCCAGTTACCGTCTTTTGGATTTTTGCAGGGCTCAGCTACTGGCACTTGCAATGCACCATCATCCACCTTGGAAGCCGCGACTGGCCGCGGCAAGAAGTCATCAATTTCTGGTGGCATCATCCTGGGGGATGCCGGGGGCCCCCACTGCATTTTGCAGCACTTCGAAAAGGTACAAGTCGGATCCTTGGAGGCCCGGGACAAGGCCCGACAGATTGGCTGATGCCATCGGCCGGTTGAACTTTCCCAAATCACTTGGACTATGACTGGTTTGGTCAAAACATGCAAATTGCACAAGGGATATCGTCATCCCACCATCACTAGGATTTCCTTGCATATAGTCACACATAGTGATTGGAGCCAGTGATGCGCTTAAACACGGCTGTTAAGCCACACCTTTCCCCCTTGCATGCCATGGGGGCATGTGCCTAATGAAGTAATGTAGATTTTCACGATCCAAATATGGGCGAACAGCCCAAGAAAACATGTCATGTGTCCACCTTATTTGACATTGCATACCATGATAAACCCGAATAGCTGCAAGTATGGTGTCGACTAGAGTCTTAGGGTTGGTTGGGATTCTCAAACACGATTTACCCTCTCTGAGGGTAACCATATATTAAGCCATATTCAACTTATATTTATAGCTGCGGTCCAACCCATCAAGTGCCAGGCTTGCGAATTGTTTTTCAAGGATGGACAGAAATCCACGGGTGGAGGGCTCCAAGACCTCCATTTTGAACACCACGGTGGAGCAAGGTGAGGTTCCCTCGGGATACCCTCTGGTTATTTAACATAGCTATGGGAAATCATCATGCTATTAATAGGTAAATCATCATGTGTATCATCTAGAAATGGGCCATTTTCCATAGCTATGTTAAATAATGTATATATAATTATATATATATATATTTAATTAAATATGTATATCCTTGGGGGGATGTAGCATTACAAGCGTGTGGAAACTACCAAGCAGCTTTTTTTCCCAGACGTTTCTGGTGTTTTCGCAGCATCAAATAAACGGAAGACCCCAGGGACCCCATACCTACTGTACTAACGACAAGAAACTTGCTGGTTAAGTCGCCATGATTCCAAAGGCGACTTAGGCCTGTCATTGAGTTGTACATTCTTTGTTTATACCATCTGGTTATTTAACATAGCCATGGAAAATCACCATTTTTAATAGGTAAACCATCTATAAATGGGCCATTTTCCATGGCTATGTCAAATAACCAGAGGGTATATATATATATATATATATCCAAACGCTGTAAAAGTAAACTGTTATAAATTATATGAGTTAAATTAACATACACAAATACTAGAACCGTCAATACTCATATGCCAGGTGGATCACATTAATTAACAAACCAAACTATCCAAGCTGAGGTGAATCATCTTTTACAGTGGTACACTTTGCAGTGACGTCGCACTGAGGTCGTTATAGTTCACTTCTCCAGTTATATAGACACAGCATGACACAGCTGAAAGAAAACCCCAGATCAAACCAATGTACCTTATGTTGTAGTTAATGGTAGTGATCCAGGATACATCCTCAATGTACACTATAGTGTACCCTCTGATAACTTAACATAGCTATAGAAAATCACCTTTAGGTAAACCGCAGTAAACCATCTATAAATGGGCCATTTTCCATGGCTATGTTAGTTTACCAAAGGGTAATATAGAATGCAACCAATTATCCAGGATGATCTTGATATAATCTTCACACAGAACAACTTTGGAGCCTGCACAGCATAGTAGCGTTGGATCGTGCGGACCACCACCTGCTCGCACTTGGTGGGGCTTGGTTCACCCCAAACAAATCGCTGGGACACGGTGGTGCTCGTCCACCCCGAAAGTATGGGTATAATAAACATGTCCCAATATTATTCATACCCTCTGGTAAACTCTCACATAGCTATTGAAAATCACCATTTTTTATGGGTGGGTAAATCAACGATTTCTATGGCCATAAATTCAATAGCTATATGTTAGTACCATTTTATTTTATGGGTGGGTAAATCAACGATTTCTATGGCCATAAATTCAATAGCAAACTGTTAGTTGACCAAAGGGTAACCAGATGTTGGTCCATCAAGTTCGATCTAAAAATCTGGAAACCGGGCTTACCAACCGAGGACAACCACCAATAAGGGCCCGCTTGTTTAACGTCCATTTTGAGGGTCAGCTTTGGGGGGTGCTAGTTGGATCCCACTTAATTATATATACATACATGTATATGGATATATAATGATGTAATGATATATATGTATATATATATATATGTGTGTGTGTCTCTCTCCCTCTCTCTCTCTCTATAAACCCTAGCTATAGTAGGCATAAACCAACCATAGTGGTCACAGAACCAACTATGAGATTACCCTCCGGTAATTGAACGTGGCAATTGAAAGCATCAGAAAAATATGCAAATTTATGATCTTCCCATAAAACAACAAAATCATTTCGAGGATTTTGCAACCTGCCACGTTTGAATCCTCATGATGTCAGGCAGCCTCCGCAACACTCTCGGACATCCGTGCGGATTGCTTGGCGGCCTCGTGGCTTGGCCCGTAGTTTGGGGCTTGATTCTTTAATTTACAGTAGTTGTTCAAAAAAAAACACGTATAACTATATCATACTATATCCATAAGCCCTAGTTATAATAGTTATAAACCAACATAAACCAACCATACTGGTCATCCAATGTATAACTAGTTCGAGATAGATCTTCCTATTTTCCGTGGCTGGTACGATGCAAGTGTTAGCTGCTACCCTCCACCAGTCCGATGCCTCATATCTTCTGGCTGGAATCCCAAGAAAGAGGCCGTATAACAGCCTATAATCCATCGATTGTCATTTATCAATTTTATCCCCATATCTTTTGTAGTTGAATTGAAAGCATTACAATGACTGATGGTTAGGACCCTATATGTAAATCCGTTATAACCAACCAACAATTCAATGCCCATTTCAGGTCCATAAATTGGAGGTACCTACCAGATATAAGGCCTATGTAAGGGCTAAATTTCAGGAAATATACCTTCAATTTCTATGGCTTTATGCGCTACAGTACCTCAAGTTTACCTGAAATGGCCTTATAATGAGGTTATATGTCATTATACAAACCCCTTACAATGACATATAGTATAGTCATTATAACTACCCTTGGTTTCAATGGATTTTCCCATGAAAAATATGGGGCTTTCCTGTAAATGCTCCCTTAAACCAATCCATTGATGGTCGGTTGGTCATTTCCCGGCGCGCCTCCTTCACCGCCTGTGGCGCTTGCGTTGGCATAGCCTGGCCCTGCCACACCCAGGCCATCGCTTTGCCGGGCACCGCACCTGCAGTCTCTGTCTTCGTTCAACAAGGTGATGCGAATAGACAGTGAAGCCATATTTTGGTGATAGAATTGCAATTATAATATTATGACCATTGTATCACCATTATTGCAACATAGTGTACATAGTGTTTTTTGAGTTAGACAGTGCTATATGGTGATATAATTAACTAGGATAACTCAAAATACACTACTATAACACATATAACTATATAAGATAACTGAATATATGATTCACATATCTGTTGAAACAGATATGGTAACCACACATATATATATATAAATAGTAAAAATGGGACCTTGATGGCTAGTTTCTTGGGAAACGTCTGGGAACATGATCTATAAACGCGAACAAGCAAGGTGATGCCTTGCTAGATGGGTCACTGGGTGGCACCGCTTGGTGGGATATGGTCATCCCTCCGTCATTAAGCATTCCAAACATAATTCGTATGCAAAAATCCTGTGAAAATGGGGGATCCATACCCCTTTTTATTATATAATGGGTTATAAGTTAAACTTGACCATGGCACACACGAGCAGTGTTCAAAAGTCTCTGTCATTTCATAATTATACTGGTTAAATAATAGGGATTCCATGGACTATGGTAATCCCTGGGTTAACCCTCTATGTAATCGTCAGCCAACAAGGTTTTTGAACACTGCTCACATGGATTTTTGTATATAATATACTAATATATACTACTTCTACATAGTTTTATTGGCTCCCCAATAGAACGGACTAATATTGGAATAAATTGCGGCAGTTTGCGGCATCTGTTTTGAAATACTGAACAAACAACCAAAAAACAACTGGTATCGTTCAACATCTGCTCAGTAAATTGAGGTAGGATATGTCTTGGGTCCAGTTCTTGGAGAAAATGCTTCAACAGCCCAGAAAGTGGATGAAATGGAATGAGTTGATGATATGAAAGACTGGTCATCTCCATGGAAATAGCCTTGCCACTTCTCATCGCTCCACTAAGATTTTGATAGATTTTGCTTGCATCTTGCTGCTTTGTTGATCCCCTTGCGAAAAGAAATGAGTGGCAATCCAACCAGGATTGCCATGGGGATGTGACTAGTTGCCATGGGGATTTTGCCACAACAAACTGCCATGCTTTTGCTACCAAAAAAGAACAACATCTGTTGTCACTGTTGTCGTGTTGGCGTTACATTTCATGATTTCATGATCGATTAAACTTGATTAACCATGCAATTATGCAAGCAAACTGTGACATATACCGATCAAGGGAACATGACAAAAATCACAGTGCCACTAATCTCTCATATACCACTGAAGTATAGCTCAAAGAATGGTACGATTTGTAAGTACCTTAGTGCTATTGAACATGTTGGGAGGCGCTGCTAATCGGACAACTTATGGCTCGGAAGAAAAGTGTCCGCAGGTCGGAAGTGTTAAGTCCAAGTCTTACGCACCTCTTCATTTCAACGTGGAACACCAAAATGAATCAACATGACCAATATCATAAGATTCATTGAATAATAGGAGGCCCGTATCATAATAGGAAACCCACACACACACATTACAGTACAAATGACCCAAAACCATCTAAGGTACGTATATATATATATCTATATATATATATATCAAAAGTACACAAATGACCCAAAACCATCTAAAACCCATATCAATCCACAGGAAAATCGGAAAAATCAGAGTCCCAAGTCGAATCGGACCGGTCTCCCGACCCATTTTTTTTCGGGCGCCCGGGCTACTTCTCACCAACCAGAGCGGTGGCAGATCCTGTTCTGGAAGCCCCACAGCCTGATCCGCCCCCAAGGGCCATTGGACCATGGCTGGGCCAGCAATCCATATGGGTGGTTTTATATGCTTTTATGACATTGCTCTAACATTACTGGTGCTTAGTAGGGAATGGATGGGAATGGGGGAATGGTGCACCAGTAAGTAACATTAATTACAACTGAAGGCCATGAAGAAATCAGTTTTTTTTGGACTTTGGAGAACATCTGCCGAAAAGTAGCACCATCATGCGGAAAAAAACACTGAAAAATCATGCAATGCATGTTGCCGTCACAACAAAACTGCCATCTCCTGTTCCAACCTCGAAAAAATGGGAACATGTTCCCTTTGAAGATGATTTGCCATGGAAAAAATGGTGACTTCTTTTAGTTGCAAGCTTAGATAGCTAGTTGAAGGACACTATATATCACACATTAATTTCTCATAAACTCTTGATGATTTGTTGTCGGTTAGTTCATGTTAGTTCTATTAATAAGATATCCAAGATTATCCAAGTAATGTCATCATTCATGGTTGGTTCAGTCCGAATCTATGGTTGGTCAGAATTAACCATCCTCAGTCATCGGTGTTGTTTATGGCATTGGGTTTACCGCATGAGTGCTTTTACCACACATTGGTTCCTGAAATTGTTGGGTTATATATATATATATACATATATATATGCCATTATCATTGTCCCCATGATATTTCCACGTATTATAATACATATATATATATATATATACTGACACACACACACACCAAAAAAAACAAAAGAAAACATGTTGAACAAATCTCCATAACTGCTGTATGGTCGTCTCAAATCACGGTGGTGAAGCAGGTGCCTGTGCGGCTTGCACTGGATGCAAGGGAGCATCGAAAGCCACTGCCACCAGTCCGCTCTCCGTGACCACCAGCGCTGGCCCTTGGGGCTTTCCACAGCACCAGCAAATGTGCAAAAGATTAAGATGGGTATGTTGGATGATTTTTATGGGTAGCATGGCATTCATACCCCCCCAAAATGGATCCGGATATATATATATATATACAGTAACTTCTATAAATATATATATATATATAATTAGGGCCAAATATGGCCAGATACTAATCTCGAAATGGAACTGCACCCTCAAGAAAATGCTGGATACCCCATACCATCTCCAAATTACTTCAATTCTCTGCTAGTGCTGAAATCGGCTTAACTGGCATCATCTAGAATCTAGGACTATCTGACTTGACAATTTCGGCAAATTTTGGTGGGATACCGATGCAGGGCACCGATTCATCCTCCCATATTGCTTCATTCACGGCCGCACGGCCGCTGGGGGCAGCGCGGCCGTCACTGCCAATTACTCTGCCTAAGTCCCAAGGACTTTGGCACAGCACCAAAACATACCATGGCTGCAGTAGAAACGACACAAACAAATGGACTAATGCTGGATGTAGTAAGATATCTATCTATCTAATCTGTCTAATCTATCTATCTATCCATCCATCCATCCAATCTATCCAATCTATCCAATCTATCCAATCTATCCAATCTATCCAATCTATCCAATCTATCCAATCTATCCAATCTATCCAATCTATCCAATCTATCCAATGTATCCAATCTATCTAATCTATCTATCTATCCATCTATCCATCTATCCATCTATCCATCTATCCATCTATCCATCGATCCATCCATCCATCCATCTATCCTATCCTATCCTGTCTATCTATCTATTTTATCTATCTATCTATCGATCTAATCTAATCTAATCTAATCTAATCTATTCTAATCAATCTATCTATCTATCTATCTATATATCTATCTATCTATCTATCCATCCATCCATCCATCTATCTATCTATCTATCTAATCTATCTAATCTAATCAAATATAATATTAATCTTATCTAATCTAATCTAATCTAATGTTAATCTTTTCTTATCTAATCTATCTAATCTATCTAATTTATCTAATCTATCTAATTTATCTAATCCATCTAATCCATCTAATCTATCTAATCTATCTAATCTATCTAATCTATCTAATCTATCTAATCTATCTAATCTATCTATCTATCTAGCTATCTAGCTATCTAGCTATCTATCTATCTATCTATATATCTATCTATCTAATATGTTTAATCCATCTAATCTATCCAACCTACCAAACCAATCTAGTCTATCTTATCTACCTGATCTATCTTATCTGTCTAATCTATCTAATCTAATCTATCCAATCTATCTGTACATTCCCCCCTATCAAATCTATCAATTCTATCAGATCTATCTATCCGTCTATCCATCTACCCATCTATCCATCTACCCATCTATCCATCCATCCATCCATCTATCCATCCATCCATCTATCTATCCTATCCTATCCTATCCTGTCTATCTATCTATTTTATCTATCTATCTATCTATCTAATCTAATCCAATCTATTCTAATCTACAATCTATCTATCTATCTATCTATCCATCCATCCATCCATTGGTCCATCCATCCATCCATCTATCCGTCTATCCATCTATCAATCTATCCATCTATCTATCTGTCTATCTAATCTATCTAATCTAATCTAATCTTATCTAACCTATCTAATCTATCTAATCTATCTAATTTATCTAATCTATCTAATCTATCTAATCTATCTAATCTATCTAATCTATCTAATCTATCTAATCGATCTAATCTATCTAATCGATCTAATTTATCTAATCTATCTAATCTATCTAATCTATCTAATCCATCTATCTATCTAATCTATCTAATCTATCTAATCTATCTAATCTATCTAATCTATCTAATCCATCTATTCTATCTATTCTATCTAATCTATCTAATCTATCTAATCTATCTAATCTATCTAATCTATCTAATCTATCTATCTATCTATCTATCTATCTATCTATCTATCTTTTGTTCTTTCTTTCTTATCTATCGATCTATCTATCTAATCTAATCTAATTTAATCTTATCTTATCTAATCTAATCTATCTATCCATCTATCTATCTAATCTATCTAATCTATCTTATCTATCTTATATATCTTATCTGTCTAATCTATCTAACCTAATCTAATCTTAATCTTATCTTATCTAATCTTATCTAATCTAATCTGTCTGTCTATCTATGTAATCTATCTAATCTATCTAATCTATCTAATCTATCTAATCTATCTAACCTATCTAATCTATCTAATCTATCTAATCTATCTAATCTATCTAATCCATCTAATCTATCTAATCTATCTAATCTATCTAATCTATCTAATATATCTAATCTATCTAATCTATCTAATCTATCTATTCTATCTATCTATCTATCGATCTATCGATCGATCTATCTACCTATCTATCTAATCGTTCTAATCCATCTAATCTATCCAATCTACCAAGCCAATCTAGTCTATCTAATCTATCTAATCTATCTAATCTGTCTCAATCTATCTAATCTAATCTAATCTTAATCTAATCTAATCTAATTTAATCTAATCTGTCTGTCTATCGATCTATCGATCTATCGATCTATCGATCTATCTATCTATCTATCTATGTTATTTTTCTATCTATATTTCGTTCTTTCTTTCTTGTCTAACTCTATCAATCTATCTATCTAGCTAAGCTAAGCTAATCTAATCTAAGCTAATCTATCTATCTATCTAATTATGTGTTAAGCTGTGTGCAATATATATATAATTCTATATGTATGTTAATAAATCCTTGATCTGGAATCTAAGTCTATCCGCCTCAACTTTCTTCCAAACAGCACTGGGGTTGACTATGATTGACTGAAAGTTGGCGCAGCTCGGCCCTCCTTTTTCTAAGCAGAGCCTGGACTGTGCTGCGCCCCAATGGGTTCGTAGCCATTTGGCTCCTTGGCACGGCTTTCGGATTGATGGGAGATAACCAAGAGTCACAGCTGCCGTGCCCGATTCTAAACTCTAAACCATCTGGACCCCATCAACCTTAAACAAAAATTATTGGTTATTGGTGAGCATAACCACATGCTATGTGTAGATTGAATCACTGTGAACAATCTGAGAAGGATCCACACTGTATGTGGAAGGTGCCAACAGCCAATTTGCATCAAGCTGCGGCTGAAGAGGGGCTGTGCCTCGCGGTCTGGTGAAGATTCTGATGTTTTGATAACCCCTTTGTTGATTAATGAGGGGAATCCTCCCAAATGATGATGATGATACTAAAATATACTAAAATTGTGTTTGACCCCAATAAAACATGGGTTCATTAATCCGCGGGTTGCATCATTTTGAAAAGGACAAGAATAGGCGCGTTTCCTTCTGCAAGCCATGAATCTTACTTTCCGAATCTAGCTGAGTGAAAAAGAAACATTTGCAAAATTCAAGCTCTGGGTCTGGGTCAAGCACTCTGCGCTCCCTCGCGCTTCGTTGGTTTCGAAGCAGGTTCCCTGCGCAGCTCCCAATGCTTAGTTCCGCTGGTTGGTTAGGGTCTCTGCATCATGAATTGATGTATAGCCTAAACCCATGCAACCATTCCGCACTAATTAAGTGCATACAGCTCAAGAGCGCCATACAACACATAAATGACATGCACATTCACATTTAATCCTTTCTTATCCTTTCTTATTTGGTGCCATCCAAGTTCGAAGATTGATTGGCTCCAAAGTCCAGCACCTCTGGAGTTCCGCTTCCAGTGGTGTCGTTATCTGGCACCGAGGCAGCAAACAAAAGGCTTTGAAGCATGTCAAACTTTCGGAACCCAACAAATCCAATGGTTTATCATCATATCTTCCCAATTATCCAATTAAAGTGGATCAAACTTACCATTTAAATTGGGGATCATTAAGGGGTACCCATGTCCACATCCCATGGTATCCCTCAAAGCTTCCCGGCCAACGTCCATGGCCTGCTGATTCGCTGTCCTTTCGCTCCACCTTTGGAGGAGGGATCCGTTGAACAATCGATGCCAGAACCGTGACCAGAGACATCACCTGGGCCGCATAACATGGGGATGGGCTGGGTTGGCCCCTTTTTTGTCAGAAAATGGATGAATTGGATTCGGAACATCTGCGGGAAACATGTTTTCTTTTAAAACTGAAATGTTTAACTTTGAATGTAAAGGGGTTGCCCCTATCCCTTGCGATTTAATCGCAAGCTTGGGTGTGTCTGAAAATGGGATAAAATGGGTATATACCGTATACCCACCGAATTGCAATTTTGGGAAGGAAAATGATGATCGACACGGATCGAACACTTGTTTTCTGGGATCCTATGTTTAGTCTTGAATTAATTATCCATTTTGGGGGGGCTGAGAATTGAGAAAAGTGACCCATTCCCAATGGTTCTGCCAAGGCGCAACCAGTGCCAGAACCACTCCCAGCCACCAGCCTCAGTGAAAACTGGAACAAAACTGAGCTGATTCCCTGCACACCAGAGCCAGCTGGGCTGCTGAGTGGGCGACCTCTTTGCCCAAGGTACAACCTGACTGGGAGCAGATTTGGAATCAAGAACTGCTGCTCACGTACCCCTCCAAAACAAGATAAATTCTCTGGCATGTCTGGCAAACCTTTAGGGGTTTCTGTAAGAGCCTACCATGAGGATCACACCAGAAAGCTGCAACACCCAGCGGGAAGCCGATGGAGGCTCCAACGAAGATCTGCAACAGGCTGTGCCTTGCTGGAGTTGGAGGCACGGCATCATCCCGTGGCATCCCCCGTCACATCACCAGGGTGGTCACGAAGCCACGAACCGACGATGTTTTATGTATTTGCTACTAGGCTTCTTTTTCATAGTTTCCCTCCAGTGCACTTATAACATCTTATAACATAGATCTGGAAAATCCATTTTGTAGATCAGGAACTAGGGAAACAACCATGGATTTCCATAGCTATAATAACCACTAACATTGAGAAAAAGAATGACTTGCTGACTCTGTGCCAGCTTGTAAGCAGGGAACTGAACAATGGCTCGGCCACCGATATTCACTGCCAGAGGTCCCCCAAAGCGAGTTCGCGATAGCATGACCTGACGGTCGGGATCTCTGCTTGAAGTGAAGCAAACAGTCTGACTGCTGTCGCAGCTAGAGTTGATGTCTGGATCTAGCAGCTTTCTGCAAGCCCAAGGCACGCAAATGGCGACAAGCCTAGGTTAGTCTACAGCCACAGCCACAAAAGTTGGGACGGTGGATGGGTCCCTGGATGTCCCTGGTCCCGGTCCCTGCTATCCCTGCTGTTGTCTGAGTTTGATCAAGTGGCCACACGTAGACCAAGGGCACAATATTTCTGGCTTCAAGGGGAGCAACTTTCATCCCTGGCAAGTCCTCGGTGACGATGGTCATGGGACCATGGGATGTTTTTTTTTGGGGGGGGACTTTCACCGGTGCCAGTGCCACGACTAAGACGCATGACCGAAATACCCAGATCCTCTAAGTAACCATAAAAATTGGCATTTTACGCCATATGATAAGTATACTTTCACCAAATGTTATGGTTACTTGGCAGGTCTAAGTATACCCATAGCCTATAGCCTATAGAGACGTTCTATTCAACATCGGCAAATATGGACCTTGGCGCCACCCGGTTCCCAGGACCCACTTTTTCAATCTTTTTCACGCATCGGAAAAGGATAAATCTGCAATATTGTTGGTATTGACGTAGAACCTCCGGATCAAGACCTTGCCATCACAGCAAGAAACCGAGTCTCAGCAATGAAGGGTGACATCCTTTATTAAATTTACGTGCACAATATCATCAAGTCACTAAAATAGGTTGGTAAAACACTAATAAAAAAAAACATCCCCAATTTCACAAAAAAGTGCTATGTTTACATACCATTCCCATGTCATGGGTGGTTTATGGCCTTGTAACCACATATAGTCACGACGGTCACGTCACCGTCACCACCGCTCCGGCGGATGCAATGGATCCTGTTGCTCCGGACGTCTGGGATCATAGCCCAACAGCTGGAAGTCCTCCGAATAGATCCCGGCGGCCTGGGAAGCAAAAACCGGGAAAATCTTAACCGGAAACCATGGTTTTTACCATCGAATACAGGGGTTTCCTGTAAATGTTCCCATCATCCAATTCTGTGATGTATACTATTTGATGGATATGATATGTATGTATGTATGTATATATATATATATTATATATATATATATATACTATATATGCATATATATGCTGGTTGGTGGTGCAATAACCATCTTGAAAAATATGAAAGTCAATGTTATAGATAAGAAAAATGTTTGAATCCACCAACCAGAGATGTGTATATACTAATATACACTATGCATTTATCTATATTTATGTATTTATGTATAGTTTATGTTATATGTTTTATATTATACGTGTACTTATTTCATCTCGATTCCACCATGTCTGACGCTTGTTGCACAATGTCTTGCCTGCTCGGCCAGGTTTGGGGTCCACTGCAATCGCTTGCGAAAATAAATCCAGCTCGATTGCTCAGCTTGTCCCCACTGCTCTCGGGGATGTTCATCAGTGGGCTTGATGTGTGGAAAACTGGGCAGTTTTTCACAGTAGCTGTAGCTGGAACATAGGACTTTTGCCAAGGTCTCTAGATCTTCCTCCAGGATTCCAGCGATTTCTCTGAGGGAATGATCATATGAATCACTAACCTAAAATAAAAAAAAACAGGCCACACGGGGATGATGGCCCGAATCCTAACCATGATTCCAGTCAGGTCGCAGTGAGGTCATTATACTGTACCCAGATTTATTCAACCATGGTTTTTCAATCGTTTTTCATATCAACAAAACGTCTTGCTGGATAGTTAGATGCATTCTTTTCACAAAGAAATAGCATCAAATAGCACCATGCAGATCCATTTTTTGGGTGCATCCCAATCATCCCATGGCCCATCTCTCCTCCAAATGTTCCATGTGCAGAAACATCATTTTCTGCTGCCGCCACTCTTTTGGCGCCGTCTGCAAGAATTCGCTCACCGGAATCAGGTGCAGCAAATCACCAAGACCTCCAGATCTGGAGAAGCTGGTGCCATCAAGGTATGTTTATCGATTAAAAAAACACCATGAAGTATAGTATTTATCTGGTTGGTGGTATACCTACCCCTCTGAAAAATATGAGTTCGTCAGTTGGGATGATTATTCCCAATATATGGAACAATGAAAAATGTTCCAAACCACCAACCAGTTATAGTTAATGGGGATTTATATAGATACATGATGATACATCCAGCAAAAAGCATCAAACAACCAAAGTTATTGGATGTTATTAGAGCCCTAAACCAACTTAGCTAACTGCGTGGCACCATCTTGTAGTAGGTTCCCTGAAATGGATCTAGAAATGATGGGTCCACTCGGATATTTTTTGGATGGGCAGACAAAAGTATATAATATATACTCATAGATTCCCTATTTCTGGTGCATGAATGTGCATTAACCAATGGGAAAATATCTCTTGTCTCGCTACTGTAAAAACTAGAGGGGATGTTAGGGGGATGGGAAATAAGCAATCATTTTCAGCAAATCGGGGCTAACGCTACCAATCTAACTAACTTGATCTCGTAATCCAAGTGGTAACAAAAAATGTTGTGCTTCATCTTTGAGGGGGTCACTATAATTGATCAATCTAATTACCATCCGGCAATCAAACATGGACATCGAAAAAAAAACAAATAAACAACTCATATTATAGATGATTTATGACGATTTACCAATAAACATGGATAAGCACACACCTATCATCCTATCTATATATATATACACATAAACTGTATTGTCCATCGCTACGTTAAATATAACCAGAAGGTAAATCGAACCGCGCGACTCAAGGGATGGCTCGCCGGCCAAACCGGCACACGGCCGTCAATCAAGCGCTCGGCTTTGGCCACCTCAGGCGCTCGCGGTCATGGCGGTCATGGCCAGAGAACATGCACCAAATGGGGGCACCATGTTCGGAAAATTACTGTTTTATAAGCATAGAAAGGGAACTATATCAGTTGTTGGCCAAATTGGTTTATAAAGTTTATAAATATACTTCCCAGTTACTATTTAAGCAGTCATTCTGATAGTTTTGAGTTATTGTTTGCAGTAAAATTGGCTAATTGGCAACGGTTTCCATTTATGGATCAAGCATTGAAAAGATTAAAGTAAACTAAACATTCAAGTTGTCCAATTTAAATCGCAAGGACTAAGTTGGACAGGCTGAACTGTTGTTACAGCAATGTGGTAAGCCAATCGCAGACCATCTGAGACCATCTGGCAAATTAAATGAGAACAAATGGCTGGTTCATTTTGGGATGATTCCCTAATCATCATTTGCAGTGAGGCAGGTCGTTATGAAACTGCGATCAATGATGACCTTTGAAACTTGGGATGCCCAATTTCCATTTCCAAAGCCATCAGAAATCGAAGACTGTTTCACCAACTTGTACTCAACTCAGCGGGATGGAAGTGCTGCAAAATCTGCGAGTGGTGCGCTTCAAAATACACTCTGGTAAACTAACATAGCTATGGAAAAGCATCATTTTAATATATAAACGGTCCATTCTCCATAATTAGCTATGTTAAATTACCAGAGGGTATCTCCGAATTGCCTTTCCAAAACCCCTCCGAAGCCATCGTCACACGCATGAACAGTTCAACCATGTTCAACCCCAACCATCCCCAGGCCAGTGCCTCCAGGACAGTGTTCAGAGCAGCTTTGCCAGCCAGCAACAGTTGCACAAAAGAGACAAAACTTCCAAAATCGGAGAGTTCTTGTAGCGCTGCCACCGTATCTTGCGCACCCAGGTCTGTGCTGTTGAGCGGCCGCTGCAAGGACCATTGAAGTGGAAGGAACACAGTCAAACCTGGGATTTTTGCGTGGAGCAATTCCCATGCAACGAACAACAAGGAAGGAAAAGGATAAAGAAACTTCAGTTTGACAATTTGACCACCAAGAAAAAAAGTGAGAGCAGTCGAAACTTCCAAGAGTTGAGTGATCCCAAAAGAGAGGCTTACTGGTGATTCAGCCGCCTAAGAATTCTAAATCAATCGAGCTTATTATCCTCCGTTTCTTTGATGGAAGAATCGAAAAATCAGCCGAAACCATGGGACAAAAACATAAACAAACAGCTTATCAAACGGCGACCAGCCGGTCATTGACGGCTTCATGGTTTAATAGCCTCTGCAAATGAGGGCTTCTATGACAGGGGAAGCAAACCCCAAATCATCCATTCAACAGTTTTGTTCATCAAAAAACCATCCATTTTGGAGCAACCCTCATGCCAAGGGTCGCCAGCCGGACGCCAATCGACTGAAGGGGTTTCGCACCACCACGACAGGAAGGCGGTTGCGACCGGTGGCACAGCAAGCACCACAGAGGTGTGGGGGCAGATAGAGGTGGCTGTCGGGGAGCAAGGAGCCACCGGTGGCAAACAACAAACGGGAGGTGAATTTCAGGGACCAGCCCACCTGGAAGACTCTCCGGATTTCATTCGGTTGGGATTGAAAAAACAATCCCAGTGAACGTTTCTTTTTGGGTCCCAAAAACCAATACATGTTGGCTAAATTATAGATGAAAAGCCGATCTTGAAGCCCTGGGGCATGGTGTTTGTATGCGTTCATAATTTGTCATATTACCATAGTAATTTGTTCGATGGATCTGGAACATCCACCATGTTAGATCCCAAAAAAGATCCCTTTCTTACAGAAAGCCTGGATTTTCCATGGGATTTTCCATGGGATTTTCCATGGTTTAGTTTATCGCTGGTTTAGTTTACGGCAGAGAAAAAATCACCAACATGGTAAAAGCTGGCCTTTCCTCAAGCAAATCTATACTGAATCAGATCCGAGCGTCTTTGGAGGGCAAGGTGGCGTTGTGCCCCAGCAAATTCACGTCATCAAGTAAAGTATTGAAGAAGGATTCTGGACCACCATAGTTCACCTCATGGCTCTCCAAGGGGAACGTATGTTTTATCAAGTCGACATGTTTTTTTTCTTGATTCATCTGGAGAACATTTTCCGCTTGGCAATATTTGGCAATCATTTTTTTCTCGTTAATGGTTACGTGTATAATTTGTCGACTCAGAGTTTCGATATTCATACAGTATCTTTTCTTGGAGGCAACTGGCCTCTTTTGCTCCTCATAATTATTATTGCCATTTGTCCTAAGCTCCCACCAGCTATCTATGCCTTCTATGACCTCTATGACTTCTGAGTCTATCATTTCACACACACATACATACATACATACACAACATTACATAACATAACATTACATTACATTACATTACAATACATTACATTACATTACAATACATTACAATACATTACATACATTACAATACATTACAATACATTACAAAACATTACAATACATTACAATACATTACATACATACATACATTACATTACATTACATTACATTACATTACATTACATTACATTACATTACATACATACATACATACATACATTACATACATTACATACATTACATACATTACATACATATTACATACATCCTTACATACATACATACATACATTACATACATTACATACATTACATACCTTACATACATTACATACATTACATACATTACATACATTACATACACTACATACACTACATACATTACATGCATTACATACATTACATACATTACATACATTACATACATTACATACATTACATACATTACATACATTACATACATTACATACATTACATACATTACATACTTACATACATACATTACATACATTACATACATTACATACATTACATACATTACATACATTACATACATTACATACATTACATACATTACATACAGTACATACATTACATACATTACATACATTACATACATTACATACATTACATACATTACATACATTACATACATTACATACATTACATACATTACACATTACATTACATTACATACATTACATACATTACATACATTACATACATTACATACATTACATACATTACATACATTACACATTACATTACATTACATACATTACATACATTACATACATTACATACATTACATACATTACATACATTACATACATTACATACATTACATACATTGCATACATTGCATACATTGCATACATTGCATACATTGCATACATTCCATACATTACATACATTACATACATTACATACATTACATACATTACATACATTACATACATTACATACATTACATACATTACATACATTACATACATTACATACATTCCATACATTACATACATTACATACATTACATACATTACATACATTACATACATTACATACATTACATACATTACATACATTACATACATTACATACATTACATACATTACATACATTACATACATTACATACATTACCTACAATACATACATTACCTACATTACATACATTACATACATTACATACATTACATACATTACATACATTACATACATTACATACATTACATACATTACATACATACATTACATACATACATTACATACATACATTACATACATACATTACATTACATACATTACATTACATACATTACATTACATACATACATACATACATACATACATACATACATACATTACATACATTACATACATTACATACATACATACAATACAATACAATACATTACATTACATTACATAAAATTACATTACATTACATTACATTCCATTACATTCCATTACAATACATTCCATTACATTACATTACATTCCATTACATTACATCGCATTACATTCCATTACATTACATTACATTACATACATACATACATACCGTACATACCGTACATACCGTACATACCGTACATACCGTACATACCGTACATACCGTACATACCGTACATACCGTACATACCGTACATACCGTACATACCGTACATACCGTACATACCGTACATACCGTACATACCGTACATACCGTACATACATTACATACCATACATACATACATACCATACATACATACATTACATACATAACACATTACATATTACATACATTACATACATTACATACATTACATACATTGCATACCTTACATACATTACATACATTACATACATTACATACATTACATACATTACATACATTACATACATTACATACATTACATACATTACATACATTACATACATTACATACATTACATACATTACATACATTACATACATAACATACATAACATACATAACATACATAACATACATAACATACATACATACATACATACATACATACATACATACATACATACATACATACAATACATTACATTACATACATTACATACATTACATACATTACATACATACATACATACATACATACATTACATACATACCATACATACATACATACATTACATTACATTACATTACATTACATTACATTACATTACATTACATTACATTACATACATACATTACATACATACACACTAATATATATATATAATATTATTCACATATTATATATTGATATTATATATATAATTCTCATATAAAATCAAATATCTCTTCCATCATTTTCCCCTTGGCACCTCATTCTGAAGCCAAAGTTTGTTGACCTCGGCATAGTGATGCCGTTTCTTGGCCGCTTCCAAATAACTGACCTTTCCGGACAGGTGGAACTCGCTGAGCAACTTCCACACGGCCTGCTGGGTCTCAGCGCTTTCCAGCTTCGCCAGCCACTGGGACAGTGCGGTATGAGCGCCTGGGAAAATGTGTTTCTGTTTTAAGGGGGAACTTGGAGGTGTCCTGCTAAAGCATGGACAGATTGCGATGGAACCATGATGGAAGATGATCTTCTGAAGATTCTTGGATTTCATTGCTCAGTTTTCCAGGATGGACATATCAAACCATTCTGCAAGTCGAACCACTGACAGATGAAGGGAAAACACTGGGGCATGCCATCACACAGGCATCTCCAAATATACCCACAAGAACCCACGGAAATCCCCATTTGAATCCATATGATGGGCGTGTTTTTGCAATGAAAGCCTTGGTTTGGGAATGTTTGGGATGTCCTAACCTTTTCTCGCAGAGGCACACTTCAAAATAGGGAAGACGGCAATGGGTACGGCCGCTGGGCAGAACAAATGCACATCTTTCCCTTGCGCTTGATTCACAGCTGGTGCGGGGAAGACGCCGCAATGCGTCAACGAGTAGGCTGCCCCATCAACCCTCACTGAACAGACGCCAGTGCCAGTCGAATGCACGTCGCAGCCGTCATCTCCACAAATGTTGACGTGAGGCATCCATGTCTCTCGCATGCAAGGGGACCAGTAGCCCTTTTCGACCGTGATCATGCATGCACCTGAACTTTCTCTGACCTTGTTGGTGGTTTTAACCATCTTGAAAAATATTAGTCAATGGGAAGGATTATCCCATACATTATGGAAAAAATGTTCCAAACCACCAACCAGTGACCATCTTTTCGAGCGCAAGGTGTGGATAGCTGGACATGGGACCCATGTTCAGCTGAAGCTGCAGAGCCATCTCTGCCCACATGACAGGCCAATGTGCCAACGGCCGAGATAGACCAACAATCCATTGCAGGGCGCGCCCGGTCCGTTTTTAGACTGTGATGCAAAGATTCAAAGTCTGGTTGGTGGTGCAATAACCATAAAATATTAGTCAATGGGAAGGATTATCCCATATATTATGGTAAGTAATTCAAAGCTTTGCCGATGCTTTGCACACGTTGGAACATGCCAAAACCATGGACGGCGCGAAGCGATCACATGAGTCACTTGGGATCATCCAATTGGCTGTTGCGGGTTACACCACCAGCCGGCACAACTTGAGCAACGGAACACATGACATGCTGAAATGTTTGCAGCTTTAAAGCACGCAAAAGGTGGCACAGTGTTGATCAATCATGGTTGTAATGTCTCATAATTGACAAAGATTAACAAAGGCATTTCAAACATTTTCAAACCGTTTTTGATAATATAGTAAAGTATGTACATTCAATTATCATTCAATTATATCACCGCAATTCTGATGTCTCAGCAACGCGCCATGGTCTCTATGGACTTACACCCCGACTCTTCAAGCTAAGATTCAGGATCTGCTTGTGGCTGTAAGTCCAAGACATAGCCTTCCCCGGATGGAGGACTTCGTTGGAAGACAAAAAGTGACTGCTTGGCAATGACAGGTCGTTGAGCAATACTAAGTGTTTTAATGGATGTATTTTGGAGAATCCTCCCAACCCAAGGGGACAATAAACATCAATAAACTAATTTGGATCACCAGCCAGCCAAATGAGGTCTGACTCATAGCTTGGTGCCTCTGAGTTCTTGATTCAAGGTTTCATCGCACTACTTCGTATCTACCATGAACCATCCATGAACCCGACATTGCAACAGTTACAGTATACAGCTACATCATCTCAGCGATTCGCCACGGTGGGAAGGACTTGCCCATCTGGATCTGCTCTGAGATATCTTGAGCATTCATTCGTCCAGGAAGACTATATTATAGTGGATCTACCAGCCTACAATTCCACATATCTTATACAAGTCTATAACTTAAGAGCACGTATAATATGAGTCTATAATGATGGTCAATCTAGTCCCCATACTTGACGACTCTTTAGGGTTCATTCTGCATCCCCCAGTTGGCATCAGTTGGCCCCTAGACCCGAGGTTTCCATCGCCCAGCGACAAGTGAAGATGGTGGCAAAGAGAGTGCTGGTCTGTGCATGGCCACTGGGCATGCCACTCCTGTGAAGTTTATGCAATGTAAAGGCTAACATGCTTCAACCCACAAACAAAGTAAAATTACATAATAAACATATGCAAAAACATAATAGTATGATATAATATAACAGAATATAACAAACATAACATAAAATATAACAACATAATATAATATATTATAGGACCGGATAACCCCACATGTTACCAACTTCTCTAGACTTAGACTGAGCATAGAAAAGCAAGAAGGGAAGAGGAAGGATAAGAGTGATGGAGGGGTGATGGTGGGTGAGTTTGTTTGTGTGTGTGTGTGTATGTATGTGCATGTACAGGTGAGTGAGTGAGAGTGTCAGTGAGTGATGTGAGTGTGGTGTGTGTGAGTGAGGGATGTGAGAGTGAGTTAAGTGAGTGAGTGAGTGAGTGAGTGAGGGTGTGAAGGTGACTGAGTGTGAGTGAGGGAGGGAGTGAGTGAGTGAGTGAGTGAGTGCAGAGAGAGTGAGTGAGTGAGTGAGTGAGCGAGCGAGTGAGTGAGTGAGTGAGGGTGTGAAGGTGACTGAGTGTGAGTGAGTGATTGGGTGATTGAGTGAGTGATGTGAGTGACGTGAGTGAGTGAGTGAGTGGGTGGGTGGGTGAGTGAGTGAGTGAGTGAGTGATTGAGTGAGTGAGGGTGTGAAGGTGACTGAGTGTGAGTGAGTGATTGGGTGATTGAGTGAGTGATGTGAGTGAGTGAGTGAGTGGAGTGAGTGAGTGAGTGAGTGAGTGCGTGCGTGCGTGCGTGCGTGCGTGCGTGCGTGCGTGGGTGCGTGCGTGCGTGGGTGAGTGAGTGAGTGAGTGAGTGAGTGAGTGTATGAGTGATTTCAGCGAAGCAGGAAAAAGTGTGAGCACAGTGTCCCACGCCTGCCACGCAAAAGCCACCAGCAATGCATCCCACGCCTGCCACGCAAACGAAGCGGAGCCGCCAGGGCGTACATCCGACCCCTTGGCAGTGCACATTGTCCCACGCCTGCCACGCAAAAGAGGCGGAGCCCGAGGGACGCCAGGGCGTACATCCGACCCCTTGGCAGTGCACATTCTCCCACGCCCGCCACGCAAAAGAAGCGGAGCCCGAGGGACGCCAGGGCGTACATCCGACCCCTTGGCAGTGCACATTGTCCCACACCTGCCACGCAAAAGAGGCGGAGCCCGAGGGACGCCAGGGCGTACATCTGACCCCTTAATATTGGCAGTGCACAGTGTCCCACGCCTGCCTCGCAAAAGAAGCGGAGCCCGAGGGACGCCAGGGCGTACATCCGACCCCTTGGCAATGCACATCGTCCCACGCCTGCCACGCAAAAGAGGCGGAGCCCGAGGGACGCCAGGGCGTATATCCGACCCCTTGGCAGTGCACATTATCCCACGCCTGCCACGCAAAAGAGGCGGAGCCCGAAGGACGCCAGGGCGTACATCCGACCCCTTGGCAGTGCACAGTGTCCCACACCTGCCACGCAAACGAGGCGGAGCCCGAGGGACGCCAGGGCGTACATCCGACCCCTTGGCAGTGCACAGTGTCCCACACCTGCCACGCAAAAGAGGCGGAGCCCGAGGGGACGCCAGGGCGTACATCCGACCCCTTGGCAGTGCACATCGTCCCACGCCTGCCACGCAAACGAAGCGGAGCCCGAGGGACGCCAGGGCGTACATCCGACCCCTTGGCAGTGCACATTGTCCCACGCCTGCCACGCAAAAGAGGCGGAGCCCGAGGGACGCCCTGCGTACATCCGATCCCTTGGCAGTGCACAGTGTCCCACGCCTGCCACGCAAAAGAAGCGGAGCCCGAGGGACGCCAGGGCGTACATCCGACCCCTTGGCAGTGCACATTGTCCAACACCTGCCACGCAAAAGAGGAGCCCGAGGGACGCCAGGGCATACATCCGACCCCTTGGCAGTGCACATCGTCCCACGCATGCCACGCAAACGAAGCGGAGCCCGAGGGACACCAGGGCGTACATCCGACCCCTTGGCAGTGCACATTCTCCCGCGCCCGCCACGCAAAAGAGGCGGAGCCCGAGGGACGCCAGGGCGTACATCCGACCCCTTGGCAGTGCACAGTGTCCCACGCCTGCCACGCAAAAGAAGCGGAGCCCGAGGGACGCCAGGGCGTACATCCGACCCCTTGGCAGTGCACAAAAGAAGCGGAGCCCGAGGGACGCCAGGGCGTACATCCGACCCCTTGGCAGTGCACATTGTCCCACGCCTGCCACGCAAAAGAGGCGGAGCCCGAGGGACGCCAGGGCGTACATCCGACCCCTTGGCAGTGCACAGTGTCCCACGCCTGCCACGCAAAAGAAGCGGAGCCCGAGGGACGCCAGGGCGTACATCCGACCCCTTGGCAGTGCACATCGTCCCACGCCTGCCACGCAAAAGAAGCGGAGCCCGAGGGACGCCAGGGCGTACCTCCGACCCCTTGGCAGTGCACAGGTGATTGAGTGAGTGGGGGGGGGGGGGGGTGAGTGCGTGCGTGCGTGCATGCGTGAAGTGAGTGAGTGAGTGAGTGAGAGTGAGTGAGAGTGAGTGAGAGTGAGTGAGGGTGAGTGTGGTGAGTGTGAGTGAGTGAGTGAGTGAGTGTGAGTGAGTGTGAGTGAGTGAGTGTGAGTGTGAGTGAGTGTGAGTGAGTGTGAGTGAGTGAGTGTGAGTGAGTGAGTGAGTGAGGACGGGAAGGACGGGAAGGAGGAGGCACGGATACAGAACTAAAAACAAAAACCCCACACGTCAATGTGGGGAACTATAATATAATACAATATAATATACTAAAATATAATATAATATAATATAATATCCGCCGACCCCAGCAAACGGCAGGGGGAGCGCGCCCGAGAAAAAGTTGTAGCCTGCCCTCAAACGCTCCGCAGCGCCTTTGCCGGCGCTTTTGGCCATCTGCCGGGCCTTTGCCCAGTACTGCGGGCCTTTGCACACAACTTTTCTAGTGGCTTCAGAAAGCAACGTTGGGCACTCGCCTGCCTTCAAACCCTCCGCAGCGCCTTGGCCGGCGCTTTGTGGCCATCTGCCGGGCCTTTGACCAGACTTTTCTAGTAGCTTCAGAAAGCAACGTTAGGCACTAGCCTGGCTTCAAGCCCTGCGCAGCGCCTTGGCGGGCGCTTCGTGGCCAGCTGCCGGGCCTGTGCTCGAGCTTTTCCATCTTTTCTAGTGGCTTCAGAAAGCAACGTTAGGCCCTAGCCTGGCTTCAAACCCTCCGCAGCGCCTTGGTGGGCGCTTTGTGGCCAGCTGCCGGGCCTGTGCTCGAGCTTTTCCAGTCTTTTCTAGTGGCTTCAGAAAGCAGCGTTAGGCACTAGCCTGGCTTCAAACCCTCCGCAGCGCCTGGGCGGGCGCTTCGTGGCCAGCTGCCGGGCCTGTGCTCCAGCTTTGCCAATCTTTTCGAGTCACTTCAGAACGCAACGTTAGGCAGTAGCCTGGCTTCAAACCCTCCGCAGCGCCTTGGCGGGCGCTTCGTGGCCAGCTGCCGGGCCTGTGCTCCAGCTTTTCCAGTCTTTTCTAGTGGCTTCAGAAAGCAACGTTAGGCACTAGCCTGGCTTCAAACCCTCCGCAGCGCCTTGGTGGGCGCTTTGTGGCCAGCTGCCGGGCCTGTGCTCGAGCTTTTCCAGTCTTTTCTAGTGGCTTCACAAAGCAGCGTTAGAGCCTGGCTTCAAACCCTCCGCAGCGCCTGGGCGGGGCTTCAAGCTTTTCCAGTCTTTTCTAGTAGCTTCAGAACGCAACGTTAGGCACTAGCCTGGCTTCAAACCCTCCGCAGCGCCTTGGCGGGCGCTTCGTGGCCAGCTGCCGGGCCTGTGCTCCAGCAGTCGGCTTCAGAAAGCAACGTTAGGCACTAGCCTGGCTTCAAACCCTCCGCAGCGCCTGGGCGGGCGCTTTGTGGCCAGCTGCCGGGCCTGTGCTCCAGCTTTTCCAGTCTTTTCTAGTGGCTTCAGAAAGCAACGTTAGGCACTAGCCTGGCTTCAAACCCTCCGCAGCGCCTGGGCGGGCGCTTTGTGGCCAGCTGCCGGGCCTCTGCTCGAGCTTTTCCAATCTTTTCTAGTGGCGTCACAAAGCAACGTTAGGCACTAGCCTGGTTTCAAACCCTCCGCAGCGCCTGGGCGGGCGCTTTGTGGCCAGCTGCCGGGCCTGTGCTCCAGCTTTTCCACTCTTTTCTAGTAGCTTCAGAAAGCAACGTTAGGCACTAGCCTGGCTTCAAACCCTCCGCAGCGCCTGGGCGGGCGCTTTGTGGCCAGCTGCCGGGCCTCTGCTCGAGCTTTTCCAATCTTTTCTAGTGGCTGCAGAAAGCAACGTTAGGCACTAGCCCGGCCTCAAACCCTCCGCAGCGCCGTGGCGGGCGCTTTGTGGCCAGCTGCTGGGCCTGTGCTCCAGCTTTTCCAGTCTTTTCTAGTGGCTTCAGAAAGCAACGTTAGGCACTAGCTCGGCCTCAAACCCTTCGCAGCGCCTTGGCGGGCGCTTTGTGGCCAGCTGCCGGGCCTGTGCTCCAGCTTTTCCAGCTTTTCTAGTCTTTTCTAGTGGCTTCAGAAAGCAACGTTAGGCACTCGCCCGGCCTCAAACCCTCCGCAGCGCCTTGGCGGGCGCTTTGTGGCCAGCTGCCGGGCCTGTGCTCCAGCTTTTCCAGTCTTTTCTAGTGGCTTCAGAAAGCAACGTTAGGCACTAGCCCGGCCTCAAACCCTCCGCAGCGCCTTGGCGGGCGCTTCGTGGCCAGCTGCCGGGCCTGTGCTCCAGCTTTTCCAGTCTTTTCTAGTGGCTGCAGAAAGCAACGTTAGGCACTAGCCTGGCCTCAAACCCTCCGCAGCGCCTTGGCGGGCGCTTTGTGGCCAGCTGCTGGGCCTGTGCTCCAGCTTTTCCAGTCTTTTCTAGTGGCTTCAGAAAGCAACGTTAGGCACTAGCCCGGCCTCAAACCCTCCGCAGCGCGTTGGCGGGCGCTTCGTGGCCAGCTGCCGCGCCTGTGCTCCAGCTTTTCCAAGTCTTTTCTAGTGGCTTCAGAAAGCAACGTTAGG